GAGACCGATCGTCGATTCTACTGGCGATAATCCTCAAGAAGAAGAAAAGACGCTCGTTTCCTGTATTCTGCATTATCTATTTATGATCCCGGCAAGTCGTATACCGTAAACCGTAAACCGTAACTCGTAACCTGAAAAGCCACAACCCATAACCCATGACCCTTGACATGGCCGTTCTCCGTATACGTATATGTATGTACATTGTCCCGGCGGAACGAAGGCAATTTGGAAGAATAACGACGATCCTAGTGGCCGCATAGCGGTACGGTAGTGATATCAAGCGAGAGGAAAATGAAAAAAAAAAAAAATGACGGTTGTCAGCAGTCATCAGAAGTCGTGGAGGGCTCAGTTTAGGAAATAGGGCAGTTTGCTCGTTCGAGGATAAAATTAAGAGGAAGGGCTGATGCGGCGCGAGGAAAATAAGAGGGCAACGATCTATTGGCGGCCGGAGAGAAATGCGGTAACGTTAGAAAATTCGAGATCCACCGCAGCGCAGCCTCCCATCATTCGAATTATCTCAAATGAACCATCTTCTCTGTACAATTTCCGCCTGGTCTCCGTCATCCTATTTCATTCTTCTGTACTATGGTACACGTATATAGGTATACGTATATATAGCTATATCATGGAGGTCGAGGAGAACTTTATCCACAACTACAGCAACGTTTACCGTTAAGAAGAGACAGGAGGAGTATCTGGACCAACTAGACCGGAGTTGAGGATCGCGTAGGAAACGTACTCAAAAAGTTTGCCCACTTAGCAGACTATAGTCGCAGCGGACGATGTAGCTGGAGTACCGGTAGGTGGTATAGAGAGAGGGATGCTGGAGGGAGAAGAACGACAAGGACTTTGAGATAGTCTTCCTCGTCTACCGTGGATAGGACACAGGAGGATTTACTTGAAAGAATAGAAGAATGGTCGTGCCTGGTGCGGGCGAAACCCCTGGGAGAGATCTCAGAGATATAAAAGTGCGCAAAAGAGATTGCCCGCGAAAGAACCTGCTTACATCTTCGTTTCCTCGTGTCCCTTCGGCTCCTCCTGAGACGAGATGAGCTCCGGAGGAAGATTGAGAGTAATAGAAAAAGAATACAAGAAAAGAAAACAGCCCGAGATAGAGGCTAAGACAGGACAAATAGCTTGACTGACTGACGTAATGGAGTACAGATTCATTGACGGTAATGACGTGGGTGATGGCAAAGGGTGGCAAAGGGTGGCCAAGGGTGGAGGAACGGCGGGAAACTGATCGGTCGGAAGAATCAATTCGAAAGCAAACCGAAAGACGACGGCGCGCGACTGCGCATGCGCGCTTCGGTTCAACCTGGTGCACGACGGGTAATACATATACGAACGTTTGATTCGATTGTGTCGCCGGGGCGTTTCGCAGCGTACTTCATTCGCAGGAAGAGCGTCGAGTTGAGGAGCAGAGTTCGAGCGAGATTAAAAGGCTCGTTTACCCATGTTAAAACTGCATTTTAATCCGGGACGTTACTTGGTTATTTACATTGAGAGCGCATAAAGGAAACCAAGCGCAACGTCATTTACGTCGCGAGGTGGTTTCTTTGGCTTTTCCTATTTTCTCTCTTTTTTTTCCATCTGTCCTTACCGCTCTCCTTTATTTTTTATTAGGATCATCTCAAGATAACCCGGACAGCTCCATATACTCGCGAACGCCATAACACCCAAACGCGCACACACAAGCGCGCCTTGAAATTCTTAGTGAATTGAATTTCACTGGAGGCGCCGCGACGCCGGTAAGAGCAAATATCTCGCGAGGCTGCATTCGCATCCAGCTTACATCGTCGAGGAGCCGTCCCCGTCCCGTGATATTAACTTGCTTTCCTTTTTCAACTTTTTTCTCTCATCTCCCGTCTCTCTCGCAGCGAATCTCCGACCATCCGAATCTCCTTCAAACGCCGCCAAATAGAAATTCTCTCTATCTCGTTCGCGGTTCCCTCTATGTTAGCGGCGAACTATTCCTTCTCGAGACGGTGCTAAGGAGAGATGGAAAATCTGCAAAAAATTATTCCTATACTTTTACGGATCGATCGTATAAAAGCTCTTACGATATACAGCAATACCCACCGTGTAGAACTAGGAGAGCTGAACGCTGTGTATAATTTATTTATCGAGTCTCGAGAATTCAAAGCCATAAACCTTTAATGAAACGAGCCGTTCTCGCAATCGAAATTTCGTCAGCCTCTTTGTCACAAGCGAATGGACCCATTTATTCGTACGGAGGGAGAGTCTCCTTCGACGTCCAACAGCCTAATGATAGTAGAAACGGTTCGGCGAAGAAGCACAAAAGAAAATCAGGCGAAAGAGGGAAAGTAAGGGATTCTCGAACCCGTAACGGCGTCTTCGCCAGCAAGCTAACGACAATCAAGAGTAGTCGAGGCTCCCATCTTGACGTGAAACCATGTCCCTTCGACGGAAGCGTCGAGACGTCGAAACGTCAGAGTGTCGTTAACTTCTACCTATTCCACTTAGGGCGATACGATTGTCCGCCTGTCACTTTATACGACTTCTGGCGGCTCCTGCTTTTTCTAGCATTCTCGCGCACGTGCTGCCTGCTAAACGTATGTATAATTGTATATATGTAGACACGTAGACATGTACAATTGTACATGCGCGTCTATAAGGCTGGTACGAAGAACCCGTGGGCGATTCGTAAGGAGACACCTGAAATAATGAACCTCGCTGGCACACGGGGCTGCCACTAGACGCCAGGAGCACCTTGGAAGGTCCTGCCACGTGAAATCCGAGGCTGAATTTTCTCAGTGCTCTTCGCACGGCTCGCCACTTGCCCTGGCTGCTTAGAATTTATATAATTCTCCGCAATAACTCTTCACGCTGCTGGACCTCTTGCACTTTGCAAATGCACAATGTACATACCAACCCCCGGGGCGCTAAGGACACGAGTAAGAAGGACGCTGAACGAACGAGAGGCGAACGAGAGGCGAACGAGCGAGGAAGGAAAAGCATGTTGGATTCTTGAAAAAGAAATATGAATGGTCTTGGTATCGTGGGAATGCCGCTCCAGTTGAAAACTTAGTTGAGTAGGGGATTTATCCGTATATCCTTAGGATTGTCCTGAGGGATGGACAAGGCTGAAGTTGCAGCAGGAACGACAGTTCTTTCTCTGGCCCGGAGGCTTACTGGTTAAAAATGGTTGGCTTATTGTCGGGAATACGAAAGGGTGTTCGCTCTGCAAGCACTTCCCTCGACTCTAGAAACTCTAGGAACTCCAGTTCTATTCTCTTGGTGTCTAACCTATTCCCTGGGATATCCGTCTCGGCAGCCCTGAGCTCCGGAGACTGCGGGGGCTTCGGGGGTTGGTGAGGTTCCTGAGCCGAGCTGAGCTTGGGATGCCGAGACGCAACCAGCAGCACCCATCGCTTCTTCTCGATAACCTCGTTACCTTGACGGAAGTTCGTAAAAATCCATCTTGAATGGCAGCTTGGCGAGAGCTCGCTTCGTCCACTTTGATGGTTCCGCTGCTAAAAGACTGCTGTACTCAGCACGCCGGAGGAGGGGTGCCATCAAAGGAGAACGTGAAGGGAAAGGCGGACGTGTGCGAAACGATGGATTCAAGTGAAAAACCGAGAAAAGCAGGAACGGGAGAGGAAAGGAAGGATCGAAGGGAGGAGGCGTAAAAACGTAGATCCGCTGGCGGATGAGACGAGGCAGTTGGGTGGTAGATACGTCCGTTCGGACGTGAGGACCATTGGAAAGGCGGAGGTGATTATTGGAAAAACGAGAGTCGATCCATCTGGGCGATATCGCCGAGACAAAGGATCTGGCACGAGAGTTTTAAGAGGCTGGCGAGACCTGAGAGGAAAAACGATCGAGCGGATTCCCATAAATACGAGAAGACATTTATTCGAAGCGCAGTGGGTGGCGATAGAGTACACAGGGTCGAGTATTACCTAGAAAACTCCTATTTGGAGAAACGCTGGAGGATTCGGTGAGAATTGGAATAATGACGGTTTAGACCTTGTGGAGTAGGCAGTAGTCGAATCGTTGAGTTCTCGAATTGCTGAGCGGCGCGATAGGCATTGAAGAAATGCGAAGTGGGCGAGAGAAGGAGAGAAAGAAGGAAAGAAGGAAAGGGAGCCCTTTCCTTCGTCGAGATTTCTCGAGGAAGCGGATAGGAGTGAAGCACAGGATGTAATTGGGTCACCGTACGGCTCTTAGCTTCAGGCCGAAACGCGAAGCTTTTTCGGCTCCGTTAAACTTAATTGAAGAAGCTCCGCGAAACGTGCTAGCTGCTATTTGCTAGATGCCTCGTAAATGTTACGTGTCGCTCGTACTTTCTCCCACACCTTTCGCATTTCCCTAGGTCTACGCCTAATTGAAAGATCTCCCTGACGATCTCGGTTACAACGTAGATTCCCTGAAAACCGACAGTTACTCACGCACATTTATCTTGAACCTATTGCTTCATTCTCCAACGTCAGAGAGTCCCGTCCTCTACCACTGTTCTTACTCCACTTTGAATATCACAAAAAAATGAGCTCGTTGGCAAAAAGACCTCTATCTGTATATACGTGCATCGCACTGACTCGTGTACTAAGGCGCGCCTGAAGCGTGCGGGCATTGTCAGGCATAACGCAAGGATCGCTAGCACCGATTCGCCTTATTCCACCGAAGGATCGATTTTTTCCCCTTTCTTTGAGGAAATAGCTCGGTCGGCTGGTCGGCTGGTTTGCTGCCTTTCTGCCTTTCTACCCTATCCACGGTTCTGCCCGCGGGCCGGACTCGTTCGAGAGCTTTTCGCCTTCTGTCGAAATGGCTTTTATATTATTGGGCTAGTGGCATGTGCAGGAACGGCAAAGCATATTTCAGCCGGCCATTCATAGCTTCATGAATTCGCAAGGGTAGCCAAAGTGCGCAGCGTTGATAATGGGAATTTCCCACAGCGAAGGAGCGTGTACAGTAGAATGGTGAAATAAAATTGGTATGAAACGACGATTGATAAAATGGCTTCTTTTTTATTGCAGCTGTCCGAGGACATTGGATACGTGCTTTACTCGGCCCTGGGCAGCTTTTACATCCCCTCCTGTATAATGGTCTTCGTCTACATCCGTATTTATTTCGCGGCGAAGGCACGGGCCCGACGAGGCATCAGGAAGCAACCACGACCACGACCAGTGGCTCCCGCACAGTCGCCGAATATCCGGCAAACAAGTTTCACTCAGAACATGTCAGCGGTGGATATTGAAAGGACGCCTGGAAGAGCGCTAATGGAGAACGTAGCCACCATTGAGAATCAGCCGGTTCAGATACCGATAGTGACGTGCGACTTTGCCAGTGACGTCAGCACCTCCGAAGCGGAGCCCCCAGGTGGTTCGCCGAGTCTTCCGCTTGAAGAAAAAGACACACTCAAGGTAAGAGTCGGTACCGCAGTCGCGACGTTAATCGTAAGTAGTAAAGTAGAAAGTAGAAGAACAAAGAGAGAGGATTACGATACGCATGAAAATAAACGAGAATCTCTGATCGGATCACACAGGTAAGCATACCGATGCCGATGCAGAAGAACGCGCTCAGGGCGACCTTGTCGGTGAACGGAGCCGAGGATGAAGCTTCAGCGTCATCCTCGACATCAGCGTCGGGCCAGAGCAGCATCCCTATGAGATGCAGAGCGCCGAGCGTCGGCATCGACGTCGACATGGTCAGTGAGTTCGACCCGTCTTCGTCGGACAGTGGCGTCGTCTCGAGATGCGCCGTCGTGAAGCCACTGAAGTTGCGTCTGTGCCAGCCGATCTTCGGGCGCAAAGCCATCGGGAAGTTGAAGCGGGACCAAGGAGCCAAGGGAGGTGGTGCCGGAGCCACCAAATCTGGACATTCTCCTCGTGGAGGTTCCGAAGGTATAACCCCCATGGGATCCTCCATCGAAGTGGCGAAGCCCGTCAAGCCTCGAGATCCGGAACGGGAGAAGCGGCGCCTAGCACGTAAAAAGGAGAAGCGTGCCACCCTGATCCTTGGTCTCATAATGGGCAGCTTCATTGCCTGTTGGCTTCCCTTCTTCTTCCTTTACATAGTGAAGCCCCTCTTCCCCAGCCTCGCCATACCCGGCCCCGTCTTCGTGATAGTCTTCTGGCTCGGTTACATGAACTCTGCCCTCAATCCCGTCATCTACACGGTTTTCAATAAGGACTTTCGCCGAGCCTTCCGACGAATACTTTTTAAGTGACTTCAGCCAACGAATAATTACAGACAACTGGATAAACTGATTTCGCGAAGAATTTCAAGAGACGGATACACCCGTTATATATATTTCGCGTAGCCAAGGCATATCAACGGGCATAGGCTGATGTTGTTGTTGCTGCTATTGCTCCCGCTCTACTTCCTGGCTCCTGCCCCGCTCCTGCTGCTCTGTTGTTATTGTTGAATCTACTTTTACTACCTACCACTACTTATTCTTCTTCTTCTATTGTTAAATCTTCCACTTCTTCCTTTTCTCTTCGTTGAGTACGAATGCTATGGAATGCGAGTATCGAATGACTGTATGAAACTGGGTGTGTGACTGCACGTACGCGGTAAGGTTAATAAGAAGGAAGGAATAAGGAAGATAAGCGCAACGAGAAATCTCATTATTACATACAATCAAAGTGGAAGGAGGTGTCCATTATCTGTTTTAAGAATTGATAAGGATAGTCAATGGCAATTAAATGGCTATTGAAATAGCAGCTACCAGAAAAAAAAAAGAAAAAAAAAAGAAAAAAGAAAGAAAAAAGAAAAAACGTTCGAAAGAACGTACGCGATAGACGAATACGTATGTATAGTATTATTGTCCTATCCCTTTTATCGTATACCTATTAAAATAAATAACTACACGACAAGACAATCCGCTGATATATTCAAACTAAAAAGAAAATCTAAAAATCGTTGACAAATAAGATGAGCAAAAAGTTTCCTACTAAACGCATAGGTTGTATAAGGATCGTGCGTTGCCGATCCGTCAATGGATATTCATTCGAATTTCAATAAATCGATAATCAAGCGATCAATGTGTACACGCGCATCGATAACGACGCGGGTAACAAATATAACGCAACGAAACGAGGTGCACGAACGACATTCTCGACGTTTGACAATCGCCTAAAAGTACTTATGTGCACACGTAAAAAGTGAGGACACTCCTGTCGCCATTTTACATATTTGGAGATTCAGGTTCCTCGCGTAGACTCGCATAGAGACACGTAAATACGCGCGTACCGCCATGGCGTCATCTCCTTTAGGTAAATCGATGAGCATTTTGAGCATGAGAGTACGTGACGTCATTCGGCCAATGAGAGTAAGCCGAGCCATTCGGGCCAATAGGATTCGAAGGAAGCAGGCGGGAAAATACAAACTGGCTAAGTACGTCACGCGAAAAGGTCCCTCTTATTCGATATCGAGATCCCTGATCAAATATCAGCGCGTTCCTTGAGTCTCGGATGAGTTTTATGCGATTCAAGTAAAAATCTACTCGGGCGATCGGAACGTTCCGGGTGCGTCGTTCGGCAAATCAAAGGGGACGTAGGCTATTCTGGCTAAGCCGGAAGACCGAACGAGGACGAAGAGGAAAAGAAGCCGAGAGATCCGTGGCTTGACGTAATGAAAGAAAAATAGAAGTGAATGGAGGAAAGTTGGTCCAGTAAGTCTCGTCGCCTCGTTGCCTTGTTGGGAACGAAAGGAGAAGAAAAAAAAAAGTAGAAAAACCCAAGCATCGTATGCGCACGCGCGCGAGCAATTTACGCACGTCTCTTTATTAAAGTAGCACGAGAGATAGGTGGGATATACAAGTATAAAAGTCTCAATAAAGTTAAGTGAATTAGAGCGTTAAGATTAAGCAACTAAAGGGTAAGACGAGATGAGAAGAAGAAGAAAAAAAGAAAAACAATACGTGATTCCAATTACGTGTACCATTCTTTGTCTTAGACGACGAAATTTTTGCGAAATTTTCGAATCTCTATGTGTCCCCAGAACGTTATCCAATCCCAAGTAGCCAATTAATCACTCGTTGATCCAACCGATACATCCGTCGACTCCTCCATTTCCCCAGTCGTCCGTTGTCAACGTGACACGTAGACACCCTTTCCAACTAATAATTAACAAGAACCCAACTTAATCGTTTAGCTACACCCCTACGGTTACATTGTATCTAGGGATAGGAATTTACAAGAATTTAAAATACGAGATGTAACGTCTTCTTCATCCTACGTTTATTACTATTTCATCGAGATATTACTCATTCAATCGTATGAATACGTACATATAGGACACGGAAAGCAACAATGCGAATACAAGAAGACAGACACACAGGACACAGAGGATACACGCATAATTATATATAAATATAAATACATACATACATATACATACATATACATATATATACATATATATATATATATATATATATATAAACGTATTATCGATTAAATTCGCCGTAGGAATCTATTGATTGACGTTATCATTTCCATTTGTCGCCGATCGCTTGATTCGTGTTTCGATGATCGGATGAGTTTCGCTAATTTCGAAAACACTATTGAAATTCGTGAACAAGAGCCGTGAAGTACTCTCGATTATGTTAGGACACGAAAGAAGCGCATTCAGCGTACTGTAACTGTACAATTTGATTACGATTAGATAAAGGAGCAAGAGCACAAAAAGAACTTGAGTGAAATTCATCGGATTTTCAAGACACGAATTGTCGACTGACAAATTCTATCGATAATATTGGAGCAATGAAATCACTGTGATATCACTAAAACGCTTTCAAGGTGTGTTGAGATTGACAAAACACAACATGGCCGACAAAAACAAAGAAGAGAACAGTTACGAGAGAAAGGAATAGATAGACGGATAGGGATAAAGAGAGCGCGCGAGAGAAAAACAAGAGAAAGAGAGAGAGAGAGAGAGAGAGAGAGAGAGAGAGAGAGAGAGAGAGAAATTTATGATATTAATTATCGTATTGTAAATCGTATTAATACCGATCGACTATTACGAACTTGTATTATTACTCAAAGGAATCTATATACATATATATTATATATTGACTATTATTATGAACATTATTACTATTATTATCAGTATTATTAATACGAAGTCCTATTGTCTAATAGCGTTGATTGTCTGTTACAAGTGATAAAAAATATATATATATATACAGAATGAAAGAGGAAGTATAAGTAGATCGAATGTAAAAAAAAAGTGATTCGCCCGATTTAACATGGATACCGGAAGTTCCAACTCGGCACGACTTAAGTAGTAGCGTAGCGCTTAAGTACGACTTTGCGATTAAGACTAAGCTAGTTTAACGAGAGTTCTAGAAGACAATAGCGACGACACTTGTACACACGCACACCGTCTCCCTTCGAACGACACACCGATACACGCACGAGCAATATACATATATACATGCAACATCTAATTTTAAGAAAATAAGAGTTTCGACACACGAAGAGCGAGAGGAAACAACAACAACAACAATAACAACAATAACAACAATGAAAAATACACTTCCGACTTTGCCAATCGTGGAGGATGGTAGCTGAACTTTTCTCAAATGTAAGGTTAGGATTGGCCCTCCTCGAGTCGGAGGTCGAACATCGTCGCCAGGACTAACCTCAAACTTATTGAACCTCCAACGTGTGTCTTCAGCTTCTCTCTCCGTCTCTGGGCGAAGCAGAATTCTCGAGGCTCGTCCAGTTTAGACCGAAGGCTGGAGGTGGAACTCCCTGGCGTTCCTTGCACCACCTATACCTACCTTATACCTACCATCTTCCTACCGAACAATGCACGAACAATCGAACACACATTTTCCTCGACCACATCGTAGCACGAAGAAGCTTCTCCCCCTTGTTATATCTAACAGAGCAACCTACCTAGATACTTGGCTATTTATCTACCCAGCTGCATGCCTGAACGCCTGCCTGCCTGCCTACTGATCTAGCTACCTACATGCCTACGTACCATGCCTGCCTGGCCAGTTTAGCTATTTATCTACTTAGCTACTTAGCAACGTGGCTATCTGTTCATTTCTATAGTCAAGTTATCCCGTAGTACTACTTGGCTGCTGCCATAGCCACAAGCAACCTATTTGTGCAGCCGACAAATAAGCGTGTTCAAATAGGGATTGCTGCTTTCACGGTATTCACGGATTTCTTGTACGCGAATGAGCACATTATGGGGTATCTTGGTAAATGGAAAGTACGTGAGCGGGTATGTTATATGGATACATATCTACCGTAGCATCTTATCGAATTGATTTGCGAGCGAATTGAAATTACGTCTTCCGAAAAATGACAATTTTTGGAGAAAGGAGCTACTTGAATTTTTTTTTTTTTTTTTTTTTTTTTAAAGAACGTAAGGGCCGGAGTTAACTGATTTTTTGTGTACCATTATACCAGTCGGGTTGCTCATCGATCCTCTTTCTGTATTTTCCTCTACATTTGGTCCGCCATATAGCAATTACTTTTTTTACAACGATCCATCCTACAGCCATCACTCTTCTACTTGACTTTCCGCTCTCCTTTTCATTTTCGCTCTCCATTTTCCACACCACTCGACACCATCTCTCCATTCCTCTTTACCTTCGCTTCCTTTTCCACAATCCTCGTTACAGTCGCAGTCAGCGTACTTGCTATTCGAATAAAAAATGTTGGCTCGTATTTTCTCGCAGTCCCGGGTCTCCCGAGGGCCTCGGCCCTGCAAAAGCAAACCAGGGGCCAACGAACGCTCGAGAAAGTCCATCAGCAGCCGCTAGCTCCTGGCTTTTCTTATTCTTCCTTCTTCTGCTTATTTTCTCCTTTTTATTTATTTTTTTCCTTTCCTTACGACAGACAAGAGAGAAACGTGACCGCCGCCATTTCTCAGGCTGGAGACGCATTGTCGTCCAGCGGTGTTGAAAAGAGGATTGCTGACTATAATATATCTTATGGAATTGTCGAGCGATTCCTTACGGACGACCGCGAATCCGTTTTATTAACCAACACTTTGGTTAATCGCCACCCAATCATATTTCCATGCACGCACAACACCGCACGCACCTCACGCATCTCACGCACACTATACAGTTAGGCCACACGAACGCTCCGTTTCAACATTAGATTGGCGCGGTTCATTTTACGTCAAGTTTAATCTACAAAAGTCTTCCATTCTTTCCACGACGTGTATCGTCCGCGTTCGCTCGAATGCTGAGGCCGTAATAATTAATAACGCGTTGATGGCCGACAGAGACGTCAGGAAGCGTCAAAAGAAGAAGAAGCTTCGACGTCGAGGAGGCCGAGGAAATAAGTAGACAGGAAAGTCGCAGGATGGGCGTGAGATAATAAAACGAAGTAGAAACGAATTTGTCAAAGCGCGCGAAACGAGGAGAGACACTGAACGCGTGAATAAATGAAGCAAGTGGGAACGGAAAAAAAAAATAATGGAAAAAAAGAAGAATATCCCATAAGAATGGGAAACTGCGACTGTTCAGTCTAGACATTATCCGACCCCAACGAGGCGTCGCGTCTATTTTTTTCTTTTCTTTTTGCTCGAGCACGGCTCCAATCCGCCACAATTTTCGATAACGTCACACGCGTCTTCCTTTCGCTCCAGCAGTTTCTTCAGTATATCCCTTGCGAAATCTCGAAACGAAACAAACTCACGTCGTCTCGAAATGTCGATCCGAACGTCTGTGGAACGTCGAGCATGCAATTGCGTAATTCGATATACCACGTGTGCATGTAGTACGTAGCTCCGTAACAGCGATAATAATTTTTATAAGTCTAATCCAACAGTGGAACCTGCATCAGACGTGACGAGATGGGTCGAGGGAGAGAGGGAGAGAGAGAGAGAGAGAGAGAGAGAGAGAGAGAGAGAGAGAGAGAGAAGTAAGAAAAAGAAGGAGAGAGAATCAAAAATTCTTAAAAAAAAAAGGCGTGACGAGCGAACGTGCGCACGTTTGCGCGTGCGTGCGTGAGTGATTGTGGTGCACGTGTATGCTTGAGGTTGAAATAGGGATAAGATAGAAGCGAAGGGAAGAACGTGTGGAATATGGTTTTCTGACGCGATACACGTCGCGTCAATTAGATAAAGCAACATCTTCGTAAGTTTCGTACGCACCGTCTGCTCGAGTGTCCGTCTATGCGTGGCAAAAAAAAACGAAGTAAAAAAGAAATCGATTGATCCGAGATCGATCATATCGCGAGGTGAAGCCACGAGCTATGAGCTGTATGAGATGCGAGTACTACGATGTATACAGACATTAAACTATCGGTACATTACAACTTTGTTTTGTAAAAAAAAACAGTAAAAAAAGAAAAAAAAACAGATCCACGTGGTTCTTCGTTTCTCATTGTACCCGTAAAACAATCTCCTCCTCTTCCTGCGATATCCTTCCTTGTCATTCGGGCACGATAAGACTGTGTATCCGTCCATGGACCTAGGACGCCGATAGTCATTGAGGATGACATCGGCGAGAGGTCTTAGGCGATTCATTAAGATCGGTAAGTCTGAGTATAAAGGGGCTGCGATAAAAAGGGCTGAAAGGGTGAAACGGCAAGGAAAAAGGGAGAGGGTGATCATTTCATGAACGATAACGCGGTAGGGACAATAGAATTTGTGGAATAAGGAAAATCTTTCGAAGGACGCTGTCAGGCGATAATAAGCGATCAATAATCGGAGTAATAGTAGTGCTAAACGAGGAGAACGGAAGTACAGTGCGCCACGCAGCGAAACGAACGGAAATGAGAGAGGACGATGTGGAGGGTAGAGAAGGGAAAGAGAGAGAGAGAGAGAGAGAGAGAGATGCTGTAGGATTGGGTGTGTCTCGAAGCGATGGGGGATAAGTAACGGAAGTTCGAAATGTCGGTGAATTCAGGGTGAATTAAGGGGGAGTTCAAGGGAACTGAAACGAATAGCTGAACCGCCTGCAAGGAGACTGGAAATGGCAGCCCATTTCGAGAACAATTCCAGTACATTCCGTTTCCATTGGACTCAGTCTGGAGTCTATTCCAGAGGACGGCTGTCGCGGATGGTCGACGACTCGAACGGACGCGTCGCGACGCTACACGAGGTCGTCGGACGTCAGACGGAGAAACGAAATCAGCCGTCGTCGCGTCTGCTATTGCGTCCCTTAGACGTTGAAAATTCCGCACCTGAGATATCGAAAGTTCGCAGAGTAAATTAGACCTGGCAGGAAAGAGAGGACCAACTCCATTTCGAGTTTTAATGCAATTTCATCTCTCCTGGGTTTCCTTCGTCGTGGACTTTTCAACAAATTGAACGAATTTTCTTTGGGTTTTCTTCTTTTACAACAGTGGATATACTATAGATTACCCAATGAATTCCCAATGTCCGGAGTGGCTTCGATCCAAATTATTCGAGTCTAAGAAGAACGTGGCTGTCACGGATAATAATTTCCATTCGACCGAACTAATAATCACTAAAGCCCCGAGTCCCTTTGACTATCAAATATTCCTTCTCGATACGCATCTGAAGTATCCTCGGGCGAAAGAGGTGTTGAACTCGAAGAAAAAAAAAAAAAAAATCACTGGAAAAAGAACCGATCGATCGGATTGTCGAAGAGGAGCGATACAAGAGAGTCCAATATTTTGCATTCAGTGAACGGAACATTGTAAAGATACATATTAATACGATATCGAATGATTGATTCGCCCCGCAAGAAGGTCCTGGAGCGCGCATGCGCACCGCGCTGATGCCGTCACTCCTTCGCACACTCAACCCTCAACTCTCAACCTTCAACCCTCAACATTCACCACTCAACAGAGACCGTGGCTAAGCGCTGGTAACCGGCCTGATAGAATTCAGGAATAAACATCACACCAGAAGAAGAACGACCCTTGGATGACACCAGCGGCGGCACTTACTCCAAGATGGATGTATATTGAAAGACATAAATTTGTCGTAGAATTACGCAACGCAAGGGCATAAAAGAGCGAAGGAGCCAACATCAACAGGGCTATCTATGTATACCAGCAGCAACAGCACTTGAGCAGCTTCTGCCACTTGGTGAGGTTAAGGTTGCCGCCAACGCCTAGTCCACCTCCCTCAACATCCACGCTTCATATACATATAGTACACTATCCTCGAGCTATGTAACGTCTCATATTCGATCCAAGGGATTCGCTCGAGTGCCAACTGAGCGACGGAGCAGTGTTTCACGTAACGAGATACCACAGTGCATACACAGTGTACCATAATCACGCAGAGCTAAGCCATCTGTATATAAAGGGAGATGAGAGCTTAGTGAGATACTGGGATGAGCTCATTTGTTTTTAAGTATACAGCGTAATATTTCCGCTATGATTTGCCGGAAGTCTTATTACTGAGAAAGTAAAGGATATGGTGGCTGGAGGGTTTTCTTTGTTTGACGAGGGAGGAAGATTGCCGAGGAAAAAGATAAAACGGTGAGATTGAAAATCCGGTGCTAACTAGTGGTCTAGCTTTCAATCTCTAAAGCCTCTAACCCCTTTAGGCATTTAGGCATCTATATATAGTCTCGGTGAGACTTTCAGGCATCTCTTGGCCCCAGAGAATCGCGGCTACAGAGTCAGTCTGTAAAATAACTTGACCTGACCTTCAGTGAACCTAACCCAAACTAAGTCAAAAGAAACGAAATGAAAGCTAGCTAATCTCTTGCCTTCAATGAGTAGAATCCCAGCAGGATTCAGGGACGTCAGATAGCTCGGATTTTCCGGCTTGCACTATATCTTTCATGTATTTCGGATCCGCATTTATTTCGCCGGCCACGTGTCCCCTATGGACCAGATCCTCCATCAGCGACCCAACGAATTCTAATTTCACCTCAGTAAATTCGTCTGAATTTGCTCCCCAGAGAAAATTGAGTCTTGGCTCGAGAACGAGGGAGAAAGAGATAGTGAATTATAGGCAGTGTAAGAGAGAAAATCGAAGAAGAACGAATAAGAAGAAAAATAGAAGATTAATGCGCTTCGATGATTAACCAAGGGCAGTTAAATTGGTTGAGATGTCTTATGGGAAATGGAAAAATTCTGAAAACCATAATGACGGATGCGAAGGTAGATTCGTATCCATTTAGGATTGGTACAAGGGCCATTGGAGTTACTAGGGATGATTGGAGTGCCGACCGAGCCCGTTCGTGATTCATCTTAAAAGATTTGCTCTCGGGTAAGTAGGTTCCCTTAATCAAAAAAATAGAGGTTGGTTTCCTTTAAAACTTAAGAATTCGGCATTCAGGTAAAACTATCTTGTAAGCTGGCCCTTTGAGTAAAATTGTGCAACTTCAAAATAGCCAACTAGCATCGTGCGACTAAATTCAGGCCCATTCTCCATTATCTATTGCCTTAAAGGTAGGGAAGGACCCTAGAACTTTGGACAATTTCAACAGGCAGACGTCCGATAACGTGGAAATTGCCAAGCTGGCCTTTTCGCCAAAGCGAAAGGGTCTGCGCAAGATTACAGCCCAACCAACCAACCACCACGTCCTTCTGTGTCCTTTCCTCCGCTCTTACCTTTCCTATCATTTTACTTTCTTCCCGTATAGAAACCTTATCTCGGAGGGCGGGAGGCTAAATAAAATTCAAGCTCCTCGTCAGGGTGTCCCAATGTATTCTTAAAGTTTCTACTATGACGCTAATAATTGAAACGATGAAAGAAAAACCTATTCTACTAAAATAGCATACCTGCAAGAAGACATCGACCTGCGGAGTAAGAACCAAGAATAGCACGTAGGGTCACAGGCCTATCGAGAGCGGTTCAGCAGCTCGTGGGAGCACAGAAACCGGATGAGGGTAAATTTCATTTAAATTATGCAGCTTGAGCTTCAGCGGAAACAAGGTTACCGCTCGGAGATGTGAGATTTGCAACAACGATTCCGTAATCCCAGCTTGTAGGAGCAATCAGACTTGGCTTTGACGAAGGACGCATGGAGATATTACGGCAGCTGCCTATATCAACAATTTTCGAGGTTGCGCAGAAATATTCTGTGAACCGTGATCCTCGTCCGATTAAATTCGGAAAACTGTTCTTTAGAAAATGAAGGGACGTAGTTTTGGCTTATTTTTATAATACTTTAAGATACAGATTATTTATGCAGAACATAAAATAAATCATTAAAACATATCGATCTACTAGTGTGTATATATATATATAAAGCCAACTGCCTTAATACCAGCTGCTGACGTAATGTCTCTCAGCTTGATGGAGAATTGCTCCTCCAATTGGACAACTGTTTCGCAGACAAGGGAGACGCACAACCACCAAACCGTATACCCTTACGAAATTGCTAGTCGTTCGAGCGACCTACTCCTACAGCTAACACTCTGTCTGCAATTCTAGCTTGAACCCCTACACGTATGTGGAATTAGAGATTCATAACGCGTCCGTAGCCAATTTCGAAACTCCACCACCAATGCTCAACACTCACCCACCTTCTCGTACCTCATCTACAAGATCCACAAACTTCGTCCTACAATCAGCCACGATTTCACGTAGCACCAAGCAGTATCTGATTCGAAGTACGTCAACAAAATGATACTAATACCTTCGGAAGCATCTACGAGAATTTACCTACTTAGGGATACGTAGAAACTATGGAAACTTGTTGGAAACTTTTCACTATATATTCATAGTGGAGACGATCTATCAGATTCTATCAGTGTCTATCGGCAAGAAACGGTTAGGAAGTTTCGAACGGAGGTGAAAGGATGAACCGGAAATGGAATATTCCAAATTTAAAGTAGAGGATAACGTTATGGCATTTCATAAGGCCGACCACGTTTCCGAAGTAAAACAATGAGCTTTAGAAAGTTCCAACGAGAAAATTAAATTCTCGCCTTTCCTAATTATTTTATCGAGTGATAGAGGCGATACGTGCTCTGCCTAAAGTTCGCTTCTTTTTGATGTGATCCCATGTCGTGGTATAACGTGTTCCGATAATTCTTATCCAGGCCACTGCAGCAGGAGGCCAATAACAATAGCGGTTTAACTCGATATTCTTATCGTTATTTCGCTTTAGTATTTTTATAGGCGGGATATATTGCCTTAGATACAATCTGTCTGTCTTTATTTCCTTTCCACTGACCGAGGAAACAACGTTCTCTTTTAAGAAGACAATGGTCTACATCCAGCTTGGTTTTCTCCTTTATTCTAGCTTTAATACAAATGATCTAAATGCTTGGGCTAATTAGCGACGGCTTTCCACGAGACGGTCGCGGTGTGCTAAGTGGTCAAGATGCTTAGTGAGATATTGAAAAGATAGGGAGGATTCTTAGGGACATAAAAGAGGACACAATTAGCGAGGGATAAGAAAACTAAGAAGAAACCCAAGAGCGGCAAACTAATGGTGAACTAATTGTTTTCAATCTGTTTACACAGCGTCCTTGTGAGACGAGCGAACCGAGCTCTGTCGCGAATCATCATTCTTCTTCCCGCAACACAATGGACCCTACGCTTCCCCAAGAACCGTCCAAACGATGTTTTTTATCATTCTACGTCATTCGCTTTAATTAATTATTCTTAATCTACGCTCCTGACGTGTATTTTCTTTCAGCGCCGTATCAATGTTTCTAGGCAGTTTTTTATCTGGGCTTTTTCAGAAGTAGATAAAAACTTATATTAAAACATTTTGTTCCAGATTGATATGGTATTCGTAAAAAAAAGATTTTATATATGAAATTATGGATATTTACAATCAGTGAACCGCATCGATGTTCTTCTTCTTTTTCTTCATTTTTAACGGCATTGGTCCTGGCATCTTGAAAACGGTACTGTAAGAAATATTTTTTTTTGTGAATGTCAAATATGAGTATTTTCTTATGTATAATGAAAGTTGTGCTTACTGGCATGTTGTACAAATTGGACTGAATTTACAGAAAACTGAAAGACAAATATTTTCATTCACGACGTTACTTATGCAAGATAGTATTTTCATTTCATTATACGAAAGTGACTGTTCTTACTGGAAAGACACACGGAACACACATATCCAATGTCGACGAGTTCTTGGTGGCAAAAACAGGCTGCCCTATAGTCTACCTTCACAGGTGGGGGTAGAACAAGTTTCGAACGAATACTGGGATCCGGTAGAAAAACCCACTGAATCAGCAAAGAATGAAAGAGATGCTTAATACCTTGCGATATGAAACTTCACAAAAAATTTGCATTTTAAAGTTACCAATAAGTATTGTAATAATCCTGACAGCTGCGCAACCTTCAAGTAATTACCACCAGTGATGTCACAGCCTTGCTGTAGTAAGGTTAGTTCCTGATCCAAACTACATACATCCAGTATAAGACCCTGGACATGATGAAAGGAAAATATGAGTACTATTAAAAATATAACTGTTTAGTGCAAAACTTAAAAATATGAAAAATTAACCAAACAATTAGTTCAACGTACCATTTTCTGTGCTGTGAAAAATACATTCATATAGTTCATATACTGTGAGGCAGAATCATTGCTTGCTGTGATAACTAGAATTCGTGAATTCAGTTTTTCTCCAGCTACCTTCTCACGTTCTAACCTTGATACATAACAAAGTGCCATGGAAAGAGCACCAGCTATCAAACTCTCAGAATTGAGAGGTCTGTCTGTACGAATTTCACTAATAGCTTCCTGCAGCCTTTGTCTGACTGATCGTTCCACCAATGTAAACCTTTCATACTGGCCATCGATTTGACGTACCTCAGAATGTTTCTCATCCGGATACAAAAACAAGGATCCGTGAGCATGACATGCCATTACAGCCAATTGATTATTAGACTTTTGCATAAGGTGAGCATTAGCAAACACAATTGTAGAATCCAAGCATTGTGTAAGAACCTTCGTTTCCTGACGCACAATTCTTTGAGATAAATTGACGTCTAATATTATAATTAATAAACTTTTGTCCACCTCTATATTAAAAAACAAAATACAATGTAATTCAATATGCAATAATCCATCATTATTTATATAAAAGAAAAACCTTGTGATACATACCACTTGCCATGTTTACAACCAACGATCACTGCCGGCGTGAATTGTAAACAGCTGATTTATGAACTATGCTGTACTCTGCTGAACGCTACCAAAAGCTGTTGGATACGCAAAGGGTAAATTTGTCCACTTCCATAACATCCTATTCGATTTTGCTCTCAGGTTCGTGTCCGGACTAAAATATGGGCGCAGCTGTTTTAATTTGCAATACGAAATTGAGAAAAGTAAAACTATTTGAAAGTTCCATTAATTTCTATACCAAATAATCATTAATCAATAATCGAAGATATAATCAATATAATTTTATTTTATTCAAATAACAATGTAATAAGAGTCTTATCCTCGTATCTGGTAAATATGTAAATATATATATGTGTATATATATATATTATAGCTCAAATATGCCCATCATTACATCAGCAATGAAAATGGTTCTTGTTTAGAAACGTATCGATAGTTCGAAGGCATTTAAAATCAAAGAATCGACTAATTGATCTCGATTGAGGAGTTTTGGAGTAATTCAAAATTATTCTATAGATCTCTTATGCGATCGTAAGATTGCAATAAAAAATCATTCGACTGAATACGCGTTTGTAGATTAATTGCAATCATTGAACTTTGTTAATTGCAAGATTAATAAACCGCTTATTCAGCTCAAGATATAACATTATCTACGTAAAGTTTGCGCGCGATAATCGACCTTATTATATATTTGGAAAATAATTTTAACTGAAAATTATTTGCCGATTTACGTCTTTCCAAATCTGTTATGCAAGAGATATATGAATTTTCAAAATTAGAAAGAAGGTAAACGTGTATCTAAAACATAAAGAACAAAGAAGATAGCATTCTAATGACTAAGGACATTGAATTTGTTTGATAAGGATAAATTTAACAGATCAAATTTTACAAAAAAAAAAAATGATTTTCTTAAAGTAACCGCAACAGCTTACTTGCATAGTACTTGACGTACACTTTTTTTTTCTCGAACTGAACTCCAACTTAAAATGTTATATTCAAAATACACAAGTATTTCTTTCAGCAGTTTGACATGCATTAATTCATCAATTCACTTTACGGCTTCATTTTTCTGAGCTAATTCAAATCTGAGGATGCTTCATATTTCAATGGTAGTATGATAGAAATATATGACGGACGATTTCTAGAGTACAGGGGAAAGAAAGAAAAAGGGGAAATCCTGTGCTCGGTGTCCATGATGCGTGAAACTCCACAGGCCTAGACTTGTATCTATATTGGTTTCTTATCAACAAGTTGAGGAATTTGCTGCTATAAGTTTTGCTTGGGAAATCGTATCGCAATCAGAAGTTTACATGCGAATTCGTTCAATTGGAAGCCGTAGCGGTGGCATTGGGAGTAGGAGTAGCTGCTGCCGCGGGTTCTTCTGTTACTATACGACGGTTTTTCTTAATTCTCTTCCATTCTCCATTCGTATAGTTCATTTGGAAGTGAGTCTCTACAAGCATGGCAACGACGGAACCATCTGGCTGTGTCACCTCTTCAACGTTCTCCGAAAGCATCACTGTTACTATATTACCCAGCTTAGGGCAAGGATTATCTGCATAAATAAAAAGAAATCATTTACATTGTTTCATTAAAAAATTAGACAGTATTGTAAAAAAAATCTGCTAACCTCTGGAACCAGCCATGAAGCCCAAAATAAGTGCTTTTTCGGGTCTCGTCACCTTGTTAGCTAATTTAAACATTTCTTGTGCTTCCAACATTTGTTCTCTCTGTAAAATTTATATAAAATAAATAATGTTTGATTTACAGCATTTCAAATTTTAGAGAAAAATATTCGTGAATTATTTAACTACCGTGAGCGATAGGCCCTTTCGTGTATTCGCAGCAGCATTTGCCGGTTGTGCAGTTGTCTGAATGCGAATCTGTGTAACTGTTTGCGCCGGCCTAACCGTCTGTACGCCAACCGGTGTATTTTCGACGTTCGTTGGAGCCACTGGTGCTGCAAGTGGTGGAGGCGTGGCGATTGGTGTAATAGGTGCAGTCGGTGGTGTAGCTGCATGAGAAATAATCTAATTCAAATACATCTGTAAAGTTATTACAATTATTAAGTTTTGCGCTATTGACTTACGCGTTGGTAGGGTAACCGTCGAGGGGATGCCTGTAGTTGGCGTCGTCGGCGTAGTGTACGGCTGAGTCGGTGTTGTTGTAGTAACGGGTGTCACTGGTGGATTTATAGGTGCTAATCCTTGAGCATACTCTGGAGTCGTTGGAGTCTCTGATGTAGTTGCTGCAACTGTAGCAGCAGCGGCCGCTGCTGCTTGGGCTTCTGCAACCTTCTTTTGTTGCTCTTCTAATTCCATCATACGTTTTCGTTTTTTAGCCTGTGCATATCCCAGCGGCTGCTCGTTGATATCTAGCAGCTTTATACCACCATCCTTTCGAATGCGACTACTTATGGGTGTTCGAGAAGACATTGAAGGACTTGTTAAAGATGGTGAACGGAAACCACTTGTTGGAACTCTACTAGGGATACCCTTAAGCGGTGCTGTAAATAAATGAAAAATACATTGCATAAGCATTTGGCTGCTAGCTTAGTCATTTAATTAATTTTGTTTTCAAACTGCTTACTTGTGTCGGTCATTTTCCTTGGCATTCCTCTGCTTCTCACAGGTACAGTTGGTGCTGTGCTCTTTTTTAGATTACTCGCAGCATCTGCACTTTTTTGCATCAATTCTGCACGAAGTGCGGCACTTTTTGGTTTCCTCTTCAATGTAAAATGTTTTGTAAGAGCTGGTTGCTGACCAACGACAGAGGTGAGTGCAGTTTTATTGAGGTAGTGACATTCCAATGGTAACATTGCTGGATCATTTTGCTTCTTGAGAAGTTTCCGTAGATCGTTAACCAATTCTCCAAATATAGGTCGATGTTCATCAAGATCAGTAATATCTGTGTTCAAAGAACCTGATGATGGGAAAGTTTTCATCGCTTCGGATAACATTGATACCCATAATTCACTGTCCAAAGATGCCACTTCAATAATTTCTTCCAGTTCAACACGCCACTGAAACAATATACAAAAATAAAGTTATGATTAAATGTAACAGATATACTCATGCCAAATCACTTAAAAAAGATAACACCACATTTTTCACTTGGAATCTCAAAATTTTCGCCAACTGAAAACACCATATGACAACTGTCAAATCTAACTGTTACGATTAAGTTTAATAGTTCTTAACAGTAGAACTATACATATGTATAGGTATTACAGTACATTCAGAAAACATCAAGCGCACAAATAAAATTACATGGCAGGTTGCGCATCGGCGAATAGTAATAATTTTTCAATTACTTTTAAAAGAAATCAAAAAACAAGAAATACACGCACAAAGTAAGAATCAACAAGAGCAATCACTATAAAGCAAACTTCATAAAAGGTTAGAAGATATTTGAATAGAGCATCTAGGTACCTCTTCAACATTCCGCCTCGGTATGTGGAAGAAAGAAAGAAGTAATTTTAGTTTCACTTGAGTCTGTAGATCTGGAAAACAGTCCTTGATGTTCCGCAGCACTTCGGCGTTCAGCTGTGAGCAAATTGAACTACCAGTCCAGCTATCGTTTGACGTTCCAAGCTTGTTATGCAGCCACAACGACGTATCACTGTCCCTCACATTCGCCATATTGGAGTCGTATGAGTAGCGCAGCGATGAATCTTCATCGGAGGGAGCCACGTGCTGTTCCCGCCGTTATGGTATAGTGAATATAGTATACAGAGATGAGTGGGGAGAAGCACAACGCAAAGATCAGTAGGGAGATGCACAACGCTACGATTTTCGGCGATACAAAAATCGTGGCGCTAAATCATAGCGGCGAATCCGGAAGTAGGATTTCGTGATCATCGCCTCTGTCGATGTTACAGATTTCGCGTAGCCGCGCGGGTCATGATCATCGCTTCAGCCGATATTGCAATCAGCGAGAACACGAATAGATTGTTCTTGGCGGGGAAAAAAGTTGCCGCTCCTCGCAAATCGTTCTCGACATTCCAGAAACTTATATAACCCACACATAGTAATGTTTTTAAGCTGCGATTATTTAAACATGTGGCGGCTTCTCTGGTTTTTCACTGAAACTACTTACACAGAATGACAGTACAATATTACCAAGCATTATAGTGTATAGTTCGTTCGAAGTAATTCTTCAAGGAACTTACAAATTGTTATCACGTATTTCGATGTCGAGAAGGTTCTTACATGTCTGCTGCTATTAGATAGTTACGAGCCAGGACTTGTCACAATTAGTTTGATTGCAAGTGTGTGTGGAATTGCATTGGATTGCAGTTTGACAATTAACTATTTCATTACACTGTGGCTTGATTTAGTTTATGTGTGTATGTTAGTGAATATTTCGTTGTACAGAAGTTTATTTGTACGCTATGGAGAAGAAATCAGAAATAAAAACGCCTACTAACGAAGAGGTTATTGATGAACTAACTAAAGATTTGAAAGACTCTTGTATTAGGGATAGTTCAAAAGGTTTGAGTGAAGAAAATGAAAATAAATGCGCTGTATCAGATGATCCCTGGGATAATATTGGCAAGGAATTGGGTGATGAAGCACAGGATGATAGTAAAGCTTGTCTTACTGAGCTCCCAGAAGATTTTGTTGACGAAGAGGCTTTAAAGGACAGAGAAGTTAATCTTAATGAAGATGATGCCAAGGTTGATATTTATTCCATGTGATTAATAGTATGATATATTCTTTATTTTGGATCGAATTTTAATTTTTTTTGAAGATCATCTATACAGTGCCTCAAGATGTTATTGTTCTTTAGAAAATGAGGATCGATGCAGAGGCATTGAAGAATGAAGGTAATACAAAGTTCAAAAATGGAGAATACAAGGAGGCAGTGATAATTTACACTAGAGGTATTCAGACATGTCCCTTGACATTTGATAAGGACAGAGCAATTTTGTATGCAAACAGAGCTGCAGCAAAGTCAAAATATATGGTAATGACAACAATATGATTTTACTTTTAAATAAATACAGAAATAAAACAATTTTCAATAAATTTTTATACAGTCCTTATATTGAATTAAATTTTTAGGTGGATAAAGATTCAGCTATTGCAGATTGTACAAAAGCTATTGAGTTAAATCCAAACTACGTAAAAGCGTACTCGAGGCGAGCTAGACTCTATGAAGAATCTGACAAACTAGATGAGGCTCTGGCAGATTATAATAAAGTTTTGACTTTTGATCCAACTGATTCCGATGCGAATTATGCCATTAGAGTAAGTAGAACTCATACATAAAAAATATTTATTGTGTATCAATACTTTTAAAGATACTGTTTTGCAGAGATTACCACCACTCATACAAGAAAAGAATGAAAAGCTAAAAACAGAGATGCTTGGAAAGTTAAAAGAACTGGGGAACATGGTTTTGAGACCATTTGGTCTATCAACTGAAAACTTTGAATTACAGAAGGATCCAAACAGTGGTGGTTACTCTGTAAAATTCAATCAAAATTCAAGCTAATGAAGATTTCGGCAATGAATATCTATTCTTGATTAACCTTATTACAAATCTGCAATTACTTAGGCATTATGAATATTTCTGCATTATGAACTTCTATGTTACATAATAAAAAGTATATATTAGATCTTAGTCTATTGTAACTTCACACAATCTTCTCTTTATATGACATGACTATATAAAACTGTAAATAAATTACAAATTTCATTTCAAAATATATGACTTGAAGTTGTAGAATCAGTCTATAAGATTCTGTATTCCGACGTTTTATTCCCATACGTCAAAATTAGTGAAAATTTAACCACAAAATATAAATCAAAATACATCACCTGCTGCCAATCCAAATGGAAAACTTCATACCATACGAGAAACGGTGAGTCGATCTAAAAGATTAGCATAAACAAGAACGTTGGAGTAGGGCTTGTTAGACCCATGAACAATAGCAATGGGTATAACTGGTTAGTTTTGCAATACCCAGTGCAATGATAGTGGTAAAGCAGCTACCTACTTGGATCATGAGTGAAAGGAGTGTACGGCGATCAATGACATAAACTGAATGAAACAGAATAATAAATGCATATGTGGATATGGTTCTCATAAAATATAAATTGACACATGCCATCCAATTCTCTCATAACACCCAATTCATTGAGACATTTCTTATTTTTCGAATTTTCAGACCTTTGTCTGGTAGCATCTTTGACTAATTAGGAGTGTAAAATAAGAGAAGTAGCCAAAATTCGAAGCTCGATGCTGGACGTTTTGAACGTCGTGTAGGTGATTGCAAAGAGACGTGCCAAGGGTTGATTTTATCACTCTGGTTTATCTTCGATTGCGCAAGCGTCCTTATTGAAACTACGACCGACAGCACCATTATTCGCGGAATAACGTAGCACTTCGTGTCGAGTAAAGTTTCGTTCGTGATAGAAGAACTTTGGGGAAGTCGAGCTTCAACAGTTTCCTGGAGTAAAGAGAAATAGCTGGCAGCGTTAGGGAATTATCGATCGTCTTTACAAAAGAGGCTTGAGATTTCGTTACACGTCACACACCAAGAGCTGCGAAATTCGCGAGTGAACAAGTACGGTAAGCGTTGAGCATTTTCATAGGCAAGGGGTGCTGTTGCTGCTTATTATTATTACGATATTGGTACTGTTTCTGGTGTTTCAATGGTGTAGTGCGAAATGCCAGCGAGTGTCGAGTCGAAGGGGTGAGATATTAAATTTATTCTGAGACTTTTGGCAAGGGTGGTGCTAAATTTGAAGGTGAGTGCTTTGTGCTAGGGACACTTTATATAACAATTTCATTTCATTTATTTACGAAAGAGTTAAGTGAAAATATTAATCAATAAAGCTATCGACTTATGGTATCATAGTAATTATGACTGGTGAAATTTCCGTCAACTCGTTGAATGAATTGAACGTTACTTATTTTTCTTCGTTCAAATAATTTCATAATTGCAGCTGGCTTGGATATATTTGGATGTGATTTTACTTATTTAACACGTTGATTACCATGGTTGATCCCGTGACCGGCGTTAGTATATTTTTTAAAATTATTATAATAAGATAAATATTATTGATTAAAAAATTTGAAGTCCCGGGTGACCAACTAGCAAGATAAGTGTACTATTGATAGGGATATGACGTTATTTAACCATAGTATTCAGTTTTATCATTACATGTTTGGAATTATAAAAATCTCATTATATAACATTAAGGGCAAAATATATAACAATTTCATGACAGTCAACGTCTTAATCACTGATTTCTACTACAGTTGAAATAAACAAGATATTTAAATCATTATTGATCTTGATGCATACGCGACTCGCTCATGAAATCTCTTCATAATTTACTTGAAATTAATCATTCACTGTGCATAGAATTATCAGTAGCCAAACGTAAATACTGCCTGACAGTACTAATAAAGTACGATTCTACTTACATTACGAAATTACAGGGTTAATCTTATATAAAAAATTGATTCACCCGACATTTTCATAAAGAATAAGATTAAATCATTGAAATAAAATTCTTTCTATTAATAACACAATGATATCATTTTTCTTATAATTCCAATTGGTTTTTCAAGCTACTTTCTCGGATGAAATATACACAATTTACAGTAGAAAGAAAAAAGAAAGACATAATTTCCATCGAATGCGAAATCACACATGACGTTCATATTCATTGTAATATATAATTCTCATTTACATATCATCAGTATAACAGCTTTTATGAAAATATGTGGCGAAAATTATAACGACTAATATAAGCAGTACTTACCTACATAAAAAATCTACCATAACAATGTGAACAATGAAAAAAAAGACGGAATCGATTGAGTAGGTTAAACCAGAGATATTGAATTTTGTATTTAGGAAAGTGTAGCATTTTCTCGAATTTTATTGAAATTTCTGTTTAATATAGTTAATTGAAAAAAATTTTTTCACCAAAATCCCGATATAGGTGTCGGCTAATTTGATGAGGAGATGTTATAAAAAAAAATTCAGAGCATTTAAAAATTCGAAAACTTTTTTTTTTACAAATCCGTACGATTTATAAAAGAATGCCTCATATGTGTCATACTACAAATATATCTAAGTAGGTTTATTTACTGCTTTATTAAATATAAAAATGTTAAAGGTTGCATTTCAAAAAAGAAACGTAAGGTTTTCATTCCTGCCCCCTCCCCCTTCTTCCCCCTTTCTCCCCCTGAATTCATGCCTTTTACCACTGGTCGGTGGCCCCACAAGACAAACCTTCGAAGGCAATAACAGGATGACCTTTTCCGTATCTGCTCTATCCATCCCTAAGTGCAGATCAGATTTACCGATAAAAGCCACTCCCCCTCATAAAAGCTTTACCGAGCTCCTTAGATTAAGGCATATCGTTCAAAGTATTCTTTGAACATAAAACGTAAAGAGTATACTGAGATAGAAAAATGTACTTTGAAAACTCAGGTGAATAGACCGGGCCCAGATGAATTATCTAGCCAAGATAAATATCGCTGGTGGAGAAAAGGGAAGGCATAAAAATCGATCGAGCTGGAGAAATCTGTTATAATAAACTAAAACTAATTAGAGTTCATCCCTGTGTTTAAAAATAATCTACAACGTCTCAAGAATGAGACAAAAGTAGAAAAGTCGAAGCTGTGAAAATTACATAAAGAGCGAAGCAGCGAACCTGCCAAGAAGGAAAGCTTTTGCAAGACGCCATTTCCAGATCGATCCAACAACTTTTAGCATGGTTTTCTGGGTCAGGGTGAACAGTGGAAGACTCTCAGTTCGTTCAGTATATCGTGGGGAAATATCTCAAGGAAAATTCCGTGGGTGTAAAATCCATCTTAACCCGTTCGCTCGTAACCTCTTCCACACAGAGAAGCGGGCGACTATCTGTCTAACAGTTGATATCAGCCGAGTTCAGTTTGTGCGTAATTTACGCATGCGATTCGCTAGTCTCGAGGATCGATAGACTTGCGCGTGGTAGTCGGGTTTTATCGCGCGGCTCCACGGCCTGCACGCTTGCCGGATTACATTAGGTTTTTTGGTGTTCTTGGAATTGTCCCTAATTAAGATTGATAAAACTATCAGATACTTTGTACGAGTGTTTTATAGTAGTTAAAAGTGATAAATTAGGTACCATATATACATCGAAGATCCGATCGATCTTTATTAATTGATCGTGCTTCTTCTTGAATATGGTTAGTGAATTTATTAGTATTACATGAGATACGCTACTTGATATTTTATTGTACGGGAACTTGAGATAGTCTCAAGTGGTCGTTACGTGCTGATGGAGAAGGAGGCTATTTGGAGTATGAGAATATTTTGCAATTTTTCTAACTTCCGCTTTCTTGTTACTTATTTACTTAGACGGAGATCATGAGGAGCCGTGCGCGTCGCTTGACGCGCCGAGAGAAGTGGCCGCTTCACGTGGGATTATTTTTACTTTACATTCTGGTGCAGCTGGTTACTTCCGTCTCCATCACATCGACGATCAGTAATGAACCGTCCACTATGACGATACTGGAAACCAGTACGATTCCGGACCCATCGTCTACGAGCGCACCTAAAACTGAATTAGCAAATAAAAACGTGGTTTCTGATAAGAAGAAGGATTTGGAAAATCCTGCACTGAAATTACCAGATGAAACGTCCGCGTCGAATACGAAAGGAAAGGAAAACGAGAGGAATGGAAATGATGAGAAACAAATAGCGAATCCAGTTAAAAATAGTCCGAAACTTAGCAACGAAATTATTCCTAGTACCACTGTGAGTAATGAGAATTATTTTTAGTGGATATAAGATATTAATGAGGAGATCATTATTTTTTCAGAGCACTCCCTTTCACACGACGACTCTTACGCATCACGCGCGAGCTACCTTGAGACCAATGCGTGAAAATTGTACACCACCTGCTATAGAGCAATTCCCACGACCCCTCATGGGACCCACTGCAAGAAAAAATGGTGGCTTGATCATTCATATCCTTGTAGCCATCTACACCTTCTTAGGTTTGGCTATAGTCTGTGATGACTATTTTATTTCGAGTCTGGATAGAATTTGCGAGGGTATGATATCACTTTGAAGGGAGACTGACTGAACTTTTTATAAAAATACTAATTCTATCTTTACTTGTAGAATTGAGATTATCTCCCGACGTAGCTGGAGCTACTTTCATGGCCGCTGGATCTTCTGCGCCTGAATTAGCAACTGTCGTAATCGGTGTATTCTTTGCCCAGGACGATATTGGCGTAAGTATATATCTATAGCTAGATTCGTTCTAGGAATTACTAGTTAGATGCAAAATGGACTCTTATTGAAATTCAATACATTCTGGCAGGTTAGTGGAGTGATTGGTAGTGCGGTCTTTAATATTATGTTCGTGATCTCGGTCTGCGGTCTCTGCTCAGGAACAGTATCTAAACTGAACTGGTGGCCTCTGTGTCGAGATTGTTTCTTTTACGCCATCTCCATTCTGATTATGCTGGGAACAATCTACAACAAGACCATATCTTGGTAAGATTCCGTAAACATATAAATTGCTGACAAACGATTCATTAATTGGATATTGAAAAGGAAATCAAGTTAACAAAACGTATCCTTATCTTTTACAGGCCAGAGGCTCTTTTCATGCTGATAATGTACGCTGTATATTGCGTGGTCTTATCGTTTAACGAGAGACTTGAACGCTGGGCAAAATCTTTGAATATTTCATTTTTACCCAAGGATGATGATCCTGCCGAAGAGAGTGCTCTCGTTAGTTATAGATCATTACAGGAAGACAGACTCTCCTACACAGGACCAAACTCTCCACTGACCGATCAAGTAAAGAGTCAAGAAGGTTGGCAGAAGTCATACAAAACTTGATGTACAATTTTATTTGTTAAAGAGACGACTCGTTCTTGATTAATTTATTGCACAACAGGTAATGGATTCCAAGAACCTCCTAGTGAGCGACCAGTAAAACAGCCACAATATTACAAAGCTAAGGAACCTGATCCAAATGAAGTTTCGCCACTGGTGATGCCTGTGGATGCTGGGAGGTGGGCAAAGTTTTCCTGGGGTCTTGTTTATCCTATACATTACATGTGTCGAGCTACGATGCCAGATTGCAGACAGGAAAAGTGGAAGAGATGGTATCCCTTCACCTTCTGCGTTTCTATGGTCTGGATTAGTTTTTACAGCTACTTTATGGTCTGGATGATTACTATAATAGGTAAGAATTATTAGATGATACAATTGTTATGGTTCATATTTACCATTGCTTCTACTTGAATCGCCAGGAAGTACTCTTGGCATACCCGACACGGTTATGGGTCTGACATTCGTAGCTGCTGGAGTCAGTGTTCCGGATGCCTTGTCGTCATTGGCAGTCATCAAAGAGGGGCTAGGTGACATGGCTGTGAGCAACGCTGTCGGAAGTAATGTCTTCGACATTTTGGTCTGTCTGGGCCTACCGTGGTTTATACAAACTGCGATGATTATGCCAGGATCACATGTCAATGTTAACAGCAAAGGTGGTCCATTTAATTTCAATTAATCTATCGATATCTTTCAATCAAGCTTTCCCTAATCAAATGATTCTCATGCTCAGGTCTCATTTACTCAACTATATCCTTATTATCAACCGTGATATTCTTGTTGCTGGCGACGCATTTCAACGGGTGGAAACTGGACCGCAGATATGGAGTCATCCTTATGATTTGGTACCTCGTTTTTATCGCGTTCGCTATTTTCTACGAGATGTACGTCTTCGGTAAGATGAATACACCATGTCCGAGTCCGTTTTAAGAGACGATTCACATCATTCTCGATCTTGATTCTGATCCTGATCTTGAACCTCAGGGAGAGAACCTTGAGATCCAATGTTCATTTGAGATCCTCACTAAGTTTTGGTATGATAGCGCTTGTACGTATGGTATGCTTCCATATAATTTTTATTCCCCTATTGAATACATCAACTGTCATAAGAGTAAAGAACCAAACAGCAAGAGAAAAGAAATGAGAGTTTTCACATTGGAATTGACATTCATTATAAAAAACAAAATAATCTGCGTTAAAAACCGAGTAATAGGAATTGAGAGAAGCAAGGAAAGAAGGATAGAAATGCAAACTAACTTCAACGTGGAATTCCGCGTCTCCTAAGATGAGTCTGAACGGGATTCCGCAAGATTATCGAGATCACAGACACGTGAGGCGAAATTAATATAGTGATTATAACGACCAGAGCCGACGTCATGTTTTGTTTAGATGTATCAAAGCGCCACGGAAGGATTAGCGTAATCTAGGTCTTAAGTCGCTAAGAAATGATAATACTCGAAGAGACAATATGAATAACAGTATTATTATGTACGTCATACGTTGTTATATTTAATACGCAATTTAACGAAACGGTCCTATAAGCCGGCTAACATTCAGCAGGCATATTTCCTTTGTTAGTTGGCTAAATAGGTGTGCATACGAGGAACAGAGAGGTCAAGCAGGGAAAGAGAAAACGGAATATGTATAGTTAGATTGAAAAAGATAGAGGATTAATAAGGAATGAGCTCAGAATGAAGAGATCAGATCACATAGCGGAGATAGGTAATGACGAATAGTCAATAATCTATAGAAGATGCACATATCCAAGTTACGCAGGAGTCACATAGAGGTTTGACCCTTACTGGTCCATTGATAGATGCAATGGGCCAGTAAGGCCCAATCACTGGCAGACTCTAATGCGTTTCTTGGATACGTTGTCACAAAAGAAACATCGAAGGGCATAGCCCTAAATAGTTTGGCGTTCCATATATGATTCACATGTTTCGCACATACGAGAACGACGATATTAAACAACGTTAAGGAATAGTTGATCTTAATAATAAATACGAAGTAGCTCAGTGCCGTTTATATATTTATAACGATCATTAGCCGTTCACATGAAAAGAAGGGGCGTATCGGTGGGTAGCCATTACTGTCTTTTACTTCATTCTTTTCCCATGGTTATCTTTTATCTCAGTTCCTTCGTATTTTATCGTTCTCTTCTCATTGCTTCTAATCTATTGTGATTAATTTATGTATACATATACACATATTTTAATCTTCTTTCTATATCTCACTATTACGTCCGAATTCAAATCACAAATATATGTCCATATTGTATACGTAATCACGTATGAGTGTGATATCTGCATGTAACAAAAAAAAGTAATTGCAATGAAACTGAAGGAGGGTGTTTAGGAATTTAGAGCGCGTGGACGCGAATAAAAAGAGATAATGGACAGAGGGAAAAAGCTAAGAACTGACTAAAGAGTAGGGAATGTCTGAGAATGAAACGAAGCTCTCGATCGAAGCAAAAAGGCTCCTTGTGAGTCGTGCGAGATACGCAATACAGAGCAAAAAAAAATGACAATAAATGACGCAGCCTTATCCGATGAAAGTATTTATCGATCGTGCTGCGCGTTCCTTGAGACTGCCGGAGTGTCCTCAAGTTGATTACGAAGAAGATGGATATTGGAGGGATCAGGAAATGTGCTACGAAAAAAGACACGAGGGATGTTATCTACGCCATGATGTTATCTGTAATTAGTGTCAATAATTAAGGATCTTTTGACGGTTCGTCGCGAGCTCCGGCGAGATCGTTATTCAATCTGGATCTCGATTACTCGCCCGGTATCCCATGGTGTTTTGTGATGTTCGATTGTGTCCGATGCTGTCGAGTGGTGTTTTGCCAACGAGTCCTTGAGCTGAGAGAGGGGGGGGGGGGGG